GAGCAGCTGCGAAGGATTTTCGTTAATGAGATAAAGACGAGTGTTTAAGCAGTTTTCTTTTTTCCTTTTTTCACCAGTGTGACTTGTACTCCATACAATGCAGTTGCGAGTGTATTTCAGATGTTTTCTGACATCAGATGTTAGATGCGACCCTCCCCAGCAGGCATGGCAGAGCATGTGTACAGCACGCAGTGCAGAGCAGCAGTCATGACAGCAAGCACCATTGCCATCTTTAGCTCGAGAGGCCTCTCGGCAGACCAAAAGGTTACCATCACTTCTCCCCGCCCGCAAAGCGAGATCGGGGATAGTGTCGAGGACGCTTCGGCCGAGGACGGGAAACGGATTTCGAGAGAGAGTTTGACGACTTCGAGAGCGTCGACGAGTTGACAGGTACAGTCGGGGCCCTGAAGAAGGAACCCTGTTCGTTTGGGAAGGGGCTCGGTGCTCCTTGCTTGTTCTGCAGTGTACCTTCGGTTCACCATGGGAAATCGAAGTTCAACTTATGGGAGAAAGGGGCCTCGTTCATTATTTCGGGTTCCTTAGGTCAACGCCCCGACCTTAATATTCCGGCTTCTAAGGTCACCGAAATATCACCACCAGCACCGAAATCGAGGATCTTCTGCCCCATGTGGAGGCCACCCCCCGTGCCAGCGTCGGTGCCCCATCTCCAGGCCGCCGGCTGGGGGCAGGGGGGTTCGCCAGGGAGGCCAAGGGGGAGCCAGGGGACGCCACGACGGTCGGGGGCGGAAAAGAGGGGGGCGATGACTAGGGGGGGGTGGATATCATGGCGTGGGCCATGATATATCCTCAGATTTCATGGCGCCTCTTCTTATTTCATTACGTTCCTGGCCCCCCCGCTGGGCCGCCAGCAGGGGGCAGGGGGGTCCCCCAGGGAGGCCACCAAGGGGGGGCCAGGGGTTCGCCGCGACGGCGCGGCGACGCGAGAGCATTCCGAGGCCCCTTGGGGGGGGGGGGGGGCAGAGGGGCCGGGGGGGGGGGCCAGAAAGCCCCTTGGGGGGGGGCGGACGAGGCCAGAGGGGCCGGGGGGGGGGGAGGCAAGGGGAGGCCACGACGACACGAAAAGTCAGGCATGAAGGCGGGCCTGTCCCCCCACAGGGGGAATAGTATTACAAAAAAATAGTTCTGAACAGAAAAGTTGTCTGGGGACGATTTGTGTTTGTATGTTTGGGCCTCTTGGAGTATTGTTTGAGTACTCTGTATTTTTCGTCGCAAATCCCCCTGTAGGGGGACACGCCCGACTTAAGTCAAGCAGTCCGAAGCCCTGGGAGGCCAGGGGGACCAGGGCAGGGAGGGCGATGCCGCACGACGACGAGTTGACGCTGTGCGAGCTCACGCGGGTAGGTATGGTGATCACGCCTGTGCAGCTGCCCTTCGGGTGGTCAGGGGGTTGGGCGGTGGGGGAGAGGACCAACTGCTGGCAAAAACGATGGGTGTGATGGTGACGATGCTGGTAACGCGCCCTCGGGTTAGCGACGACGCGTGGTGACGACGTTGCGCTGCGATGTAATGTCACTATCGCCCCCGCTTTCGATCCCACTCGATCGATCCAACTATCGGCCTTACAGGATCGATCACACTCGATCGATCTCATTATTGATATCACTATCGATCTCACTACAGATCTCGCTTTCGATCTCACTATCGATCCCGCCATCGATGTCACTATCGGTTCCTCTATCGATATCACTATCGATCCCACCATCAATATCACAACCAATGCCACAATCAACGTCACTGTCGATCTCACGTGTGCTGTCACTTTCCAACGCATTCTAGCGATCTCCTTATCGATGTCATATCGATTTCACTATCGATACCAGGGCGGGACACCCCTTGCCACAGCCCGCCCACCGCCGACGGAACACCCTCGGGACACCAGCGGGACACCACAGGACACCACGGCGGGACACCCCGGGCAACCGTTCGCCCACCGGGGGCGGAGGGGCGGCCCACGGCATCCGAATCGCCCTAGCGACGGCGGGGTCATTCCTATCGTGCGCCCAAGCAGCTTCGCTCTCACGCACGACACGAACACGAAACCGAAACTGACTTCCCGGTGGGGGGCTCTCCGTCCCATTGCGACCTCGCCCCTGGAACTCATCCCTTTCCTGACTCAAGATATGCTGCCCTCTCCGCGCACGGTTCTTTACAAGGGATGTCATGACATGATTTTCTCTGATCTGCCACAATCCGATTGTCTTCGGTGTTTCAAGACGGTTTTCCCGCTTCAGCGTGGGCCTCGTTTTCGGATCGGCGCCTTGTTCCCGTGTGCTCTCGCTCCAGCGCGGGCCTTTCTTCAGGATCCGAGTCCTTTCTCGTCCTTGTCGCCCCCCCTCGTTTCTCCTCCTTCGCCTTCCCCTGGTTTCCCCGCACCTTCCACTCCAGCTCCTGCTGTTGCTGTTCGTCCTCGCCGTCCTTTTTCCTCGTCCTCTTTTTTCCTCCTGCTCATCCGCCACCTCCTTCTCCAATGTACGCAGCGTTTTGTCCTTTCAATTGCGCATCACAGGACAAGGCCCTCGTTTGGAGTCCCAAGCCCGCCAGGACACGCGTCGGCGGGTAGAACAATAACCGCGCAAGGGGAAGGGGTGGATGGGAGGGTCAGCAACGTGCAGAGGGGGGTAGGGGTAGGGGGTCAAGTTAGCCAGCTCGAACGAGCCGGAGGGTTCCGTCCACTCCCACCCGCACCCCCACTACATAAGAAACAAGTGCGTCGCGTCCGACGCCTGTCGCTCATCTTATATCGTGGGCGGCTAGACGTTCAGCGCGCGACATGAGTTGCGTCGTATTCCTGCCACGTATTGAGCAACGTCGACGAGAAACAAGACCGCGCGCGATGTACGCCGCGCACCGCCCCGGCCTCTCATGTTGCATCGTCGGCGACAACATGTCCAGCGCGCGAAGTGCGCCGCGTCTCATTCCAGCCACGCGTGTTGCACCGCCAATCGTTTCGCTCATGCCGCGCATGGAGGAGGGGGAGGAGGAAGAGGAGGAGCAGGGGAGGGAGAGGGAGGGGGGGGAGAAACTGAGGAGGAAGAGCAGAATGCCTCCTGGGAGTTCGCGGGGCGTCCTGGAACTTTCTGGTATTTGCCTGAGGGCCTCTTGGAGATATCTTCAGGGTTGGTAAACTGTCAACACAAGTAGGTGCTAACTTCACAAGCCTTCAAACACCAAATGAAAATCAATAGTTGCGTTGCCCTCCCCAGGACCTCCTTGGCGCCTTCTGTTCGACTTCTCGGGGGTCTCCTGAGGCACTTGCTTGAACCGCACGTGCTTGAGGCATTCTGACTCGCCGCCCGCCCAGCTCTTCGACCCGACGGGCCGCATCGTCGACGACAAGAAAGTCCATGTTGACGAGCGGGCGTCCCCGCGTGATGCGCGCCGCGTCCCTTTCCCGCTACGCGATTCGCAACGCCGACGAGTAGAAAGTACACGCTGGCAAAAAAAAAAAAAAAAAAAAAAAAAAACACGTTGACGTTGCGGTGTTTTTTTTTTTTTTTTGACAGGTAGGACGGGGGGTCCCGCGTAGGGTTGGCCAGGCGTCCGCGCGCGATGTGCGCCGCGCCCCATTTCTATTATTTTTGCAGCGTCGGCGACAAGAAAGTCCACGTTGACGAGAAAGGCGTTCACATTGCATTGTTTTTGGAGGGGCACGACGCGACCACCCGCTTAGGGTTACCCGAGCGATGAGCATTCCGTTCCATTCCTGCGACACGTTTCGCAAATGGTCTACACGCTAACGAGAAGTGCTGTCGTTTGACAGTTAGGGCGGCGGGGATGCCATCGGCCGGCTAGGTGGGGATGTGGGTGTGTTTCAGCATAGGAAAGAAGGACCGGGTTTCTTAGAAACACCCGTGCACCTTCCCCCGATGAGAAACGTCCTCCTATTGACAGCACAGGGGCGTCCTCTGCTGTGTATAGGCTCCTTCTTTGTATTTACGTCTTCTTGGAGGAAACATCTCCCGATGAGAAACGCCCCTGCGGGGATGGAAAAAGAGAGACTGAAGGCTAGCGGGCCTCCTTCCGAGAAGCGTTCCCCTTGATGACAGAATTGACGCGAGCGCACCTACCCCTCTGTCATGTTCCCTCTCCGCCTCTCCTCCTCCTCCTCATCTTCCTGCACCTCCTCCTCATCCGCCTCTCCTCCTCCTCCCCCTCCTCCGCCTCCTCCTCCTCCTCTTCCTCCCCCTCCTCCTCTTCCTCCTCCTCCCCCTCCTCCTCATCATCATCCTCATCCTCCTCGTCCTCCTCGTCCTACTCGTCCTCCTCATCCTCCTCCTTATTCCCTTCCTCGCCTTTCTCCCTGTTCCTCCTCCTCCTCCTCCTCCTGCTTTTCCCCCTCCTCCCTCCCCGCCCCCGTCCTGCCTCGACCCCTTCTCTCCCGGGGGCGCCAGCCGCCCACCCCTGACCGCTGCCCTGGCCAGGCCGCCCCCCTGGGCATGGGGGGGGGCGGGGGGGGACGGAGGGGGGAGGGAGGGAGGGAGGCAGGGAGGGAGCACGTGTTCAACATGAATATGAGGGAGGAGGAAAGGGGGAAAGGGAGGGAGGGAGGGAGGGAGGAGGAGGAGGAGCAAGAGGAAGAGGAGGAGGAGGAGCAGGAGGAGGAGGACGAAAAGGAGCAAGACGAGGAGGAGGAGGAAAAGGAGGGAAGGATGAGGGAGGAAGAGGAGGAGGAGGAGGAGGAGGAGGAGGAGGAGGGAGGAGGAAAAGGATGAGGGAAAAGGAAGAGGAGGAGGAAAGGAGGAGGAGGGAGGAAAGGAAAAGGAGGAGGAGCAGGAGGATGAGGAGTTGGAGAAGGAGGAGGAGCAGGAGGAGGAGGAGGAGGAAGAGGAGGAAACAGGGAAAAGGACAAGGAGGACGGGGAGGACGAGGAGGCGCATGAGAGGGAGGAGGAGGTGGTTACCCGACGTCCGCCCGGCCGATTCCGCCCCCCTCCTGCGCGGCCCCACGAGCAAAGCGCCCCCCCCCTTCGCCCCCAAGAGGCGTGGAGCAGCGAGGGCCACGTGGAGGACACACCCCCGGCGGGGAGGGGGGGAGCCTTGAGCCAATGGGGGCCCAGACATTATTCCTCGTCTTCCTCCTCCTCCCCCTTTTCCTCCTCCTCCTCCTCCTCCTCCTCTTCCTCCTTTTCCTCGTCTCCTCCTCCTCCCAACCCTTCGGTACAAGTCCCCGTTTTGGCGTCCCGTCCTTCGACACTGACTCGGCACCCAAGTACCAAGTACGAGCCTACATGAGAGGTCTGCTTGTTGACCTTGCTCTCCCCAGGTCGGCTCTGATGACAAATGCGATGCATTCGGTCCCTGCGCGCGCGGCCGAGGCAGTACAACTGTTGCCTGCTCAGTGCAACCCTCAAGCTCTGCTTGTACACCGGGATCCGGAAATGTTGCACGGGATGGATTCTTTCAATGTGATCAGTTTGACGAGGAGGGGCCTGAGTATGAAATATGCCTCCTTCGACGGTGGCAAGAATATTTTGTCCCCGAGAATCGGAAATTAGTCTGCATGGCGATGGCCAGCCCCAAAGAAGACTCGCCCGAATGCAAAGACAAATGCCATTAACAAGGCATTGCCCAACTCATCGACAGGGTGCATGGTAGCTTTGAGATCAGAACGTGTGCGCCGACACCGTTTCAACCAGGCGTGGTGTCCGCCAGAATATATCCAGGGGCGTGGGGGGCAGGTACATATGGAGGTGGCATTCCAGTTCATTAGTTTCTCTGCATGAGAACCTCTTTTTTTTGCCAGGGGTTGGTCGAATTCAAAAGTAAGGTTGTTGCACAGTTTCAAGCACGACGTATGCCAGCGTTGTTCATGGACGGGAACTTCCGTTGTGGACTTCGGCAGTTTGGTGCTCAGGTGTTACGCAAATAATCCCAGCATGGTGGACGCCCTAGGCACTTGTGAGGACCATTGTACCAGCGCAAGGATAATTGCTCCAGGCGCTCATCGCATATGCGTGGCCAACACATGTCATTACGAAGGGTATGGCCCCCCGTACTTCCGCGGCTCGACCATGACATGGCCCGGCGATGCTGCGATCCCGAAGGCGACGCTGGCGCATTAACCCCCCTGGAGTTTGGAGACGCACAGGCAGATTCTTGCAGTTGCCCCTTTCCAAAGGCAACCAAGATCAGGCCCCATCGGCGATGGGCGCAATGACGCAATCGGTGTTGGATGATGAGAAACCGAAGACAGGACAACCTACGTGGAATCAGGAGAAGCTGATGCGTGCGCGGCTGAGGAGAGGATCCGACCAAGACGTTTCCATCGAGACCTTGGGCGCCTGGGCTAGCCAGGCTTAAGTCATGAACGAGTGTCGCACGCACCAGAATTCGGGAGATGTTGATTCATTTGGGACGTTATACAGACTGGTGCGTGAGAAGCTTGTGACCGACGAGATGAGGAGCCAAGCAGGCTCGCATCTTCAATCTATTCGCAACTATCGTAAACAAAAGATCTTTTGCGTTGAAGACGCACGAGAGAGATGGAAACCGAATTGGAGGAAGCACGCGCCAGACACGACCAGCACCATGCACGGGCGCTGTTCAGGTTAATCGTTTGACCAAGATTGGGACGCGCTTCCACTTGGCAGCTTCCTGCCCGCTTACGATTCAGGAGAAGATTCAGCCCGCGGACCAGTCAATCCCCGACGGCTGCATGGAATCACAACCCACGCAGACAGGAAGATGCGGGCGTGCGCCGAGCACCGCGAGATGCTAAAGTCCGGCGCGCATCTCCTGGCGAACGCGCTGACCCACGCGACGCAGGCCAGCAGGCGACGAAACAGCACGAGCGACTAAGCTGGAAAAGTCGCTCGAGGTTGGTTGTAATATTATCGAAGCTTCGCCTCTTCAAGAAACCGCCACTCGTCGGCGTTGGAGCCCTGGCCACAGGCTGCGTCTGGCCAGGAGTTGCCAACGCCATGCCAGTAGCTGCAGCAGTGCCGACTGCAATGACGAGCCCTCTCTCGTGGCACCTGAAACGATTTCTGATCGACTTGCGGATCGCGGACAGCCGGGTCGCGTTCGTGCTCGGGGCGATTTCTCGCCCCGGGCGTGTCACGACGCCTCAGGCGTTCGATTGCCAGGGGGTGGCCGTTCCAGAGCGGTCTACGCCTCCAGAGAGGTGGTCGACGGCGCTCGCGTCTCCACCTCGCGCTGTCCGCGACGGCGCCTTCGTTCGGATGTTCGTCCACTTCTTTTCTTGTCTGTGATCAGCAATCCCGTAGACAGCCGCAGATCCGGGCACCTGAGCGACGCGTGTCGCGCGTAGAAGGGCAGCGACAAGGAGGATCGCAGGGTCGGCTGAATCGCGCACTTATCGGACCCAGTCGGGAAGGAACGCGCCCGACAACAACGGCCCGAGAGGCGCGCGCGCGCGGCTCGGGCACTCGCGGCGGATTCAAACCTCTACAGCGGCGAGAACAGGCAGTATTGCAGGTGAAGGTGGCGGGGTGACATTTGGAGAGTCATAAGGTATATTGGATGGCGCCGGTGGATTGATGACCAGGCAAGCGCCTTCGCCGGGAGAATCGCAGCGCGGTGGGCGAGGCGAGCGATAATTCTCCACTGCCAGATGATTTCATGCTTCGCCAGCAGTGCTCTAGAGTCTTGTATATTCCGCGATGATGCTGGAGAATGGGCTCTGATGCGCCCGGGCGCGGCGATCTCCAGGGCGACGCAGCAGGGCCAGACGCGCCAATTAACCCGTTGGGCACATGTGCGAACAGGCAGATACATAAAGCACCGAGGCCAGTGGACCGAGATTCTTACATGGGCCTGCGACGCAAAAGACCGCCGATTTCGGCCACGCCGCGCTCGCGGACCTCGCGCCCTTCGCGGAGGAGAGTGCCGCTCGGATTTGCACGTGGGATGCGCAGCTTCACGCGCGCGCAAGCGCCCCAGCAGGGCATACTGCGAACAAAACAAAAAATCAGGCCCCGCGGCACGGGCTCCCACATGCGCGCAGCAGTCCCGCGCTAGAACGGCGTCGACTTCGGGGGGGGGAAGTACGGTCGAGGCACATTGGAGCTCGGCGCCGCGTCGATGCGGCCGGGCCTCGGGGGCTGGGGAAGCGCCGGGGAGTTGCCCGACTTGGGCGGAATGCCCTCGACAAACTCTGGCCTGGCAGGGGCCCTTCAGAAATATGCAAAGAGTAACCTTCACTGGGGGCGGTGGCGAATGCCAAGCTGTCTGCCTGGGGGCGAGGCCCGGGGGCTCTCCGGGCGCGAGGCTGACCACGTCGGCGGCCCCATTGCCGCGCGCGCCCGGGCTTGCCCAGTGGGCGAGGGAACTGCCAAACATCAAGAGAGCTAGGTAACTATTGTCTACTGCCGCACGCAAAGTGGCTGCGAAGTTCGAGGGCGACGGAATATGCCTACAACGGCAAGCACTTCAAGGGTATGCATTGTTTTCGGTGGCTCCAGCACATGGTTAAACATCCTCGCGTGCACATTGCACTCCCAACCCCCAGGTGCGGTGGCTTGGCTGGAAAAGGTGATGGGGGTGGCCCGCGTCGGGGGCGCCTGCCATCGCAGTAGTTCTGGCGACTGCGAGCGCTAAACTACAGCGCTTTGCCCGTGGGAAGAGACAGCCGCGCGCGTGTCCTACGTTGCGCGGTCAGTCAGGTGGCTTGTTATCCGCCGGCGCTTCCACCGCCTATATCGTGCCCGCTCTGCGTTGATTGTGAATTATCGCCCCTCGTGGGCGCCCGCCTGCACGTCCGAAGGCGCTCTGCGCCGCGCGGGCGCGACGGGGGCGCCGGCGCAACAGACGCGGACGCCGGCAGGGTTGGGCTCGGAAGGTCTAGCGTCTAGGCAGAGGGCGGCCGGCTCGACAGACGCCCGGATGCGTGAGTTAGCAGAGGCCGCGGCGAAGATTGTCGCGGGCATGGGCGGCGAAGTTCGAAAATTGAAAGGAGTTCTGGAGACCGCGGCTCTGGCGGAGGAGCACCCGCATCTGGGAGACATGCAGCAGGCGGACTACAGTGGGGGCCCGCATCAAGAAACAAGAAACAATATGCTTTTCGTCAGGGTATCCTTGGTTCCTTCGCTCCTCGTGCTGCGCGGTGACTTCCGCAGTCGTTGAAGGAGCCGCTACGTTCAGGGTGCTCCGGGTTTCTGCACCTCGCGCACGGGTTATCAGGGTTGGGTTTCTTGCGAGGGTTCCTTGCGGCCGCGCCCGCGCTGTGCCCCGCTCGTTCGTCTCTCGCTCGTAACCTCGTGTCCTCCACCGCCTCGTCCTCTTCTTCCGTTGATGCCAACGGGCATAGAGTTTGGGGGATGCAGGTTGTCGTGCTGCAATAGCGATCGAGGGTGACCCTGCTAATCGTCAGCGTGCCCCAAAACGCAGAGGTGTGTTGCTGCGTGCTTCGTGGCCTCCCAGTGGTCTCATGCGTGCCAGCGTTTCGCCGCGATGTGTCAGGGAGTTCATCATCGTGATTCACGCTGGGAGCCAGCGGTCTGGGAAGGTCTGGTTCCTTGGACCCGCTTGCACCTCGCGACCATCGTGCCCAGCATAAGCCGTTCACACACGATGAGCAGATCGGCCTGGAGGGGGTTCAATGGGGAGAGACTAGATCAATCCCCACTCTCCCCCTCCTCAACCTCCTCCTCCTCCTCGTCCTCCTCCCCCCCCGTGAATACTAAGCCTCCCATTGATCAGGAGTGCTTGTATGGACCAGACCAACACTGTAGGCCTTCCAGATGGGGTCGGAGGGTCGCGCCGCATCGCCGATGCATCGGCGATGTGGCCCGACGTAGAGCCTGATTCTCGCCGCGCCGACGTCGCCGATGCGTCGCCGATGCATCGGTGATGCGTCGGCGACGCGGGGCGATCCTCCAACCCCATCTGTACGGACCTGGGTGGCCACATGCGAGCCCTGCCCCTATCCCCCACGACTTCTGAGGGGGAGGCTGGGGTTCACTTCGCTCGGGAGCTCCCGAGCGAAGTGACCCCTCCCCCCTTCAGAAATCGTGGGGGGCAGGGGGTAAGGTTCGCGCGCGGCCCCCTAGGGCCCCGTCTGGAAGGCCGCTGGACACGTCTTGGCATCGCTCGGACGTGTGCACTTTTCCTTCGGCGAGGGCCATCGAGGAGCATCCTGGAGCATCTGGCGAAAAAAAACACGCACGAAACCGACAAAAAAACACAGGAAATGGACGTCCGAGCGATGGCCAGGCCTCGCCAGTGGGAGGTCTGTCCACCGCCGGGCCTGGCCTTGCTTCGGGACTCTCAGGGGGTGCTGGGCCCAGGGTGCGGCTCCGTGGCCATCCCTGGGCCTCTGCCCCCCACACAGGTGCCTTGACAGCAATGGGCGCAGTTGGCCTGGGTTTCGGGACTTTCGGGGGTGCTGGGCCGGGGTGCGGCTCCGCGAGCAGGAGGACGGCGGACAGTGTCTGGCCGCCCTCGGCCCAGAGTTCCTCGCGCTGCCTCGAAGGCAGCTTGGCGCAGGGGCTCCGGGCAGCTGTTTCTCGGCGCGCCGGGCCCTCCTCCTCCCCCCCCTCCTCCTCCTCCTCCTCCTCCTCCTCCCTCCTCCTCCTCCTCCTCTCTCCTCCTCCTCCTCCTCCTCCTCCTCCTCCTCCTCCCTCCTCCTCCTCCTCCTCCTCCTCCTCATCCCTCCTCCTCCTCCTCCTCCTCCTCCTCCTCCTCCTCCTCCTCCTCCTCCTCCTCCTCCTGGGGGCTGTCCGAGAGCGGCCCGCGGGCGGAGCGGCGCGTCCCGCGGGGGGGGGGGGCCGCGGGACTCTCCGTGCCCGGAGGGTGCTCAGAAAGGAATGTTTCTTTAGAGGGAGGGGGTCTCCCAGGGGAGGGGTTTGTTTGGGGGAGGGGGTTTCCCAGGGAGGGGGGTTTTGGGGAGGGGGGGTTTGGGGCAGGGGGCGTCTGGGGAGGGGGGGGGTCCAGAGGGGGGTTTTGGGGGAGAGGGGGGCTTTGAGTGCGCAGCCCCCTGGAGGACCCCTCCTGGAAAACCCCCTCCCCCAAAAAAACATGTTCTGGAACCCTCCGGCGTGCGGTCCACGCTGTGGAAAGGTCACGACGTTGCATGCCTGGAGGCGACGAGGGGGGGCGAGCAGCCCGGGGGGCGGCAGTGCCAGGATCCAGGGGCGCCCATGGTCCACGCCTCCAGCGAGTTTCCCCGGCGAAGACATGCAGTTCCCGCCTTTGGGTTCCCCGCCCGTGCAATCGCCGCTGGGCCAAGGTCACAGGGGGACGTGCGCCGCCGATTCGTGGAAAGATTCATCCACCGGCGACTCTCGATGCTTGTCTGTGCATGGTACTTGCACAGGAGTGTGCGAATCAAGGATGGCGGCGGGTGGACATTCTCGCGTGCGCGTGCAAATTTGCGAATTGATTACAATGCGCGGCTTGAGGCAGCACGCACACGCCACAAGTAATTGCTAACATTGCTGGTCTTCTATCGAGTTGGCACGAGCCCTTGTGTTTGCATCAGCGGATGCCGCCCCGGATATCAGGCCCCTATGATTGACGTGCTCGTTATGCTGGTTGTTGGCAGCGTCCAGCGAATGTGTTGGTTCAGGTATTGCACAGGGCACACGAGCTGACAAGCGTAAGATCAGTTTTGGCATGCTCAAGTCTGCGAGGACATCCAGTACCACCTGAGAATCCATGGCGTCTTCGACAGGCCACCGGTGCCGTGCACCCGCATGCGCGTGCTCTGCCTTTTTGGCGCTCTGTGCAGGCGCAGCGAGGGCGCCTGCCCGCACCGCAGAAGGGAGTTCGAAGCACTATGCACATGCTCCTTGTTTCGGCCGTTCTTGCGCTCGCCTGTGTTGTCGGCGGTGTCGGTGGCGAGCGAGGGGGGGGAAGTGAGGATAGGGAAACGAGCAAAGACATAAACAGAAAAACTCGGAGGTCCGCGCGGATTTCTCGGATCGGCGCTGGGGCCCCCTGGCGGCGCTTCCGGAGCCGCCCCTGGCGCGCTCCGCGCGCCAGGGAGGGGGGTCCAGCGCAGATCCAAGCAATCCGCGCGGACCTCCGAGTTGTTCTGTTTATGTCATTTTTCGTTCCCCTACAGAATGAGAAGACCTTTTCAGAAGGCGGCGGGACTTCTCAGAAGCCGTCGCGCCCTCTGAGAGGTGTATGTGTGTCTTCGGGGAGGTCTCAGAAAACGTCTCCGAAGCCTGGGGGGACTTCCGAGCCTTTGAGAAGCCCCGCCCCTTCTCGTTCCACCCCTTTTCGCCGCCGATTCGTATGCCCACTTGCAATAGCAATGTGTTGCGACCATGTAACAGTGTGTCGTCGTGCGAAAGGTTGGATGGGAGGCAGCTGGCAATGCCACCAGGCAGTCAAGGTGGCTCATTGTTCCGAGGCAGGAGAAGGGCTTGGGTGGGCCATGATAGCTCGAAAGGGTATGGCACCATTGCCTGGAGGTCCTCTACCTATCTACCGTAGCTTCGTGTCGTGTCGACGCGGCGGCGACCCTGGCGCGGGCGGTCAAGGTTGAACGCCGCTTGAGGCCTGGAATCGCCCGATAGCGAACGAGGCGCGCGATCGGGCGGCCGCGACCGTTCAAGATTGAGCGGTCCTCGCGGTGTCAGGAGCCATCGCCGACGCCGTTACGGCACGAACGCGCCGTAGTGCATCTCTTTGTCTCTCTTTCGTCATCCTTCCTTCGCTCAGTATTGCTAAGGCCTTACGGCCAGTGCCGCCGACCCTGGATACCTCGGCCCTCGAGGGTGACGGGGTCCGTGATAAGACGTCGGAGGTAAATGAAGACATGGCGGAGGAGGAGGAGGCGGAGGAGGCGGAGGAGGAGGAGGAGGAAGGGTAGGAGGAGGAGGAGGAGGAGGAGGAGAGGAGGAGGAGGAGGAGGAGGAGGAGGAGGGGGGGGGGGGGGAGTCTTTCGTTATCCTTCCTTCGCTCAGTACCCCGTGGGACGCTGCACGGCCATCTCGCGTCGTCTGCGATCGCGGCAGCCTCGTCGCCCGGCGTCGCGTGCGCGATCTCGGCCCGGCTCGGCCCGGGCCGCGGCGTCGGACCCAGGAGGAGGAGGAGGAGGAGGAGGAGGAGGAGGAGGAGGAGGAGGAGGAGGGGGAGGGGGGAGGGAGGGGGGAGGAGGATGGGGAGGAGGAGGAGGGGGGAGGAGGAGAAGGGGAGGCGGAGGAGGAGGAGGAGGAGGAGGAGGAGGAGGAGGGGGAGGGGGAGGAGGAGGAGGAGGTGGGAGGAGGAGGAGGAGGAGGCGAGGAGGAGGGAGGAGGAGGAGGAGGAGGAGGGAGGAGGAGGAGGGGGAGGAGGAGGAAGGAGAGGGAGGAGGAGGAGGAGGAGGAGGAGGAGGAGGAGGAGGGAGGGAGGGGAGGAGGAGGGGGAGGAGGAAGGGAGGAGGAGGAGGAGGAGGAGGAGGAGAGGGAGGAGGAGGAGGAGGAGTTTCTTCGTCCTCGCGCCCGCGGCCGCAGGGTGCTGCTGTTCCTCCACGTCAGGCGACCGCCGGGGGGGAGCCGCGCGCGCTCCGACCTGCGCCCGCCGCGGCCCGGCGCCCGCTCTCGCTGCTGCCCGCGCAGTTGCTTGCGCACGGGGGCGCTCCTGACTCCTCCTCCTCCTCCTCCTCCTCCTCCTCCTCCCCCTCCCCTCCTCTCCTCCTCCTTCCCCTCCTCCTCCCTCCTCCTCCTCCTCCTCCTCTCACTCCTCCTCCTCCTCTCCTCCCCCTCCTCCTCCTCCTCCTCCTCCTCCTCCTCCTCCTCCTCCTCCTCCTCCTCTCATCCTCCTCCTCCTCCTCCTCCTCCCCTTCCTCCTCCGCCTCCTCCTCCTCCTCCTCCTCCTCGGCGTGCGGAGCCGGCCATGAGTTCCGGATGTTCCGCATGCTGCGTTGGTCTGCATCGGTGTTCTCTGCGCTGCATTGCCTGAGTGTGTCAGCGCATCGGTTCATTTGTCGGAGGCTGATAGACCTCCTACCCTGACACGTCGATTACTGAATCGGCTGTTTTCGATTCGCTAGAGGCCGTCGCGGCCGTCATTTCTGCGGATCCAGGTTCGTCGGTTTCGGCCCCAGGCCGTTTTCGCTAAGGGGAGGTTTGTTGAAGGGAGGTCTGTCCACCGCCGAATGTGTCTGCGCATTTCACTGTATTCAGCATTGTCCAGCCGACCGCTGTCCCCCTTCCCCATCCCCATCCAGACCACCACCATCTCACCCCTCCAGTTGGGGATATCCCCCTCGAACCTCGAAGGAAAAACGGCCCATATCCCCATCCAGGGCGGTGAATCGGCCAGTGGGGACCAGGCCACGCCCATTGGGATAGGGGATAGGGGTCGGTTAAACGATGCTCATGAATCATTGTTTGGAGTCCACGTTGGCATCACTGTGAGTGACCCATGTTCTGTGCTCTCTCAACTCGTTATTGATTTTTCGTTCTTCGCTTCGGCCTGCCTGTATTCCCGAGGGGAGCAGCCTCTGATTGAGCGTGATCGGCATACATGCAGGCGGTTCTTGGCATTGCTCGGGCGTGTGCAGTTTATCTCGGCGAGGACCTTCGAGTAACATCCTGGGCTACCTTGCGAAAACAGACATACACACACTGAACAACCAACAAATGCACGGTGAATGAACGTCCGAGCGATGTCAGGTTCAGGGATGCGAAGGAGGAACACATGTTTTTTTCCTTACACGAAAGCTGGAAAAAAGTGGCCGGGGGTAGCCGTTCTATTGCGAAGATCTTACGGCTGGTGCCGCCGACCCTGAAGGGGGACGTCGACAACGGCGGCGGTGGCGGCGGCGACGATGACGACGTTGGCGAGGGCCCGAGTCCTCAGGGTTGCGTCTTGGGGTTTCTTGGGAAGCTCTCGGGGGCCTCTGGGGAGGAATTTGGGGGTCTCTTGGGAGCCTCTTAAGGACCTCTTGGGGGCCTTTTCGGGTGTCCTCGGGGTTTCTTGTGGGTTTATTGTGGGCTTCTTGAGGCATCTTGTGAACTTGGGGCCTCCTGGGAGCTTCTCGGGGCCGAGGGCTCGGAATGTACGGTCGGGTTCCCCGTCCCCGTCAAGGCATGCTCTTGAAGCCATTTTGGGGGCCTCTTGGGCCGTCTTGGAGGCGCTTTGGGCTGTCTTGGGGTTCTCTTGGGATGTTTTGGAGCGCTCTTGGAAGCCTCTTGGGGCGATCTTGAGGGCATCGTCGGCCGTCTTGGAGCGGCTGGAAACGGAAGAGGCGAGAATGCCCAAATCTGTCGAAGCGCTAAGGAAAGTAAATGGTGGTTGCCTCTTGTGGCCCTCTCGGGAGTGCCTTTGGAGGCCTCTTGGGGCGTCATGGAGGTCTCCTAGGCAATCTGGAAGCATGGCGGCGTTTTGGACCGATCATTTGGCGATTGAGGCCCTCTTGGACAGTCTCGGGGGCCCCAGGGGGGGATGCGAATCTGCTCCCCCCCCCTGGACCCCCCCCCCGACGGGGGAGGGATCAAATGGAAGGGGCTTCCCTTCGATTCGATTACGATATTGCGAGGCTTTTCTCTCGCTGACAGGCTTGAGGAGGGTGGAGGGAAAGGGGACGACGCAGACGACGACTGACGGAGACGACGACTCGAAGAGACAGACCCCTCGCACACGACGACAGGGTCGGCGGATTCGATCCAGCTCTCGCAGATTCCTTCCTCTTTTTTCAGCCCCAGCGACGTCATCCCCATTGTTTCGGCTCGTTTCGACCGCTGCCAGTTTTTCCGGCACTGGCCACTTCCGCTTTCGCGGGATTTCCAACCGCGTTGTTTCCGGTTTCTTTGGGTGGGTTGTCGTTGCGGCGCCCAGCAAGCGGGTGATTTGGAAAGCCAACCAGGATTTTGTTCGCAAGGGTTGCCAGGGCTCGTTTCGAACGGATTGTTGCTGGAAAGAGAGAGAGAGAGAGAGAGAGTCGGGGGCAAACAAACCTACCTCGCCTTTGACCACCCTCGCTTCCAAGAGATACCAAACGATGCCAGATTGCGGCCTGTACTGGTCAGGCCGCTCGACGAGGAGGCGCGCGAAAGCGGGGGAGGTAATCAGAGAAATTATGGATTCAGTTTGTGTCGGGGGTTCGGTTTTCTGCTATGCCTGGCGGCCCATAGGGGCCAGACGGATCGCGAGGAGGCGGAGGAGGAGGAGGAGGAGGAGGAGGATGGGGGAGGATGAGGAGGAGGAGGAGGAGGGGCCATCTGTGGTTGTGGCTCCTCGCGTTTCTCCGGCCTGCGTCTCTCCCCTCCCCCTCCTCCCTCTCTCCCTAAACCCCCTCCCTCCTCCTCCCCTCGCCCCTCCCCCCGAAATGGGACGAATTACAACCGACTGGTCCCAATTCCAACCGTTCGGAGCGAATTGCAACCATACATGGGACCAATTACAACCATGGGATCTTCAGAAGTACTTATTTCTTCTTCAGAAGTACTTCTTTCTTCTTCAGAAGTATTTCTTTCTTCTTAACAAGTGCTTCGATTCCTTAGGACTCCTTAGGACTCCTTAGGATCCTTAGGATTCCTTAGGGTCCTTGGGATCCCTTAGGATCCTTAGGATCAGGACTCCTCCGGATTCCGTCAGGAATCCTTGATAATATTTACGAATCCATGGGAGTCCTGAAAAATCCTTAGGGGAAGGGTGCGCTTTGGGGGCCTTCTTGGGGTCTCTTTGGGCCACTCTTAGGGCCCTCTTGGGGCCTTCTTGGAGCCCTCCTGGGGCCTGTATTGACTTTTCTCGGCGCCCAAATAAGCCCTAGAAGGGCCAACTTTAGAGGGCTGCAGGGGGGCCCAGCAGAGTGACGGTCTATGGGGGCTCAGATTGGACCTCGCCATCCCTGGGGGGGGGGGAGGGGCTGCGATCTGCGAAACCGTCGCCAGTTTCGAGGGGTGCTGGTGGGTCCAGTGGACTGGCGTCCTACAAGGGGCCCTAAAAGAGCTCGAAACGGCAGCAAGAGGAAAACGCAACCGACAAATATTTTATGTGTCGGAAGGGGGCGGGAAGAACAACCGAACAATATTTGATTTTTCGGAAGGGACTGCTTTGGGGGCCTTCTTGGTGTCTCTCTGGGCCACTCTTAAGGCCCTCTTGGGGCCTTCTTGGAGCCCTCCTGGGGCCCGTATTGACTTTTCTTGGCGCCCAAATAAGCCCTAGAAGGGCCAACTTTAGAGGGCTGCATGCGGGGGCCCAGCAGAGTGACGTCATATGGGGGCTCAGATTGGACCTCGCCATCCCCCATCCCTGGGGGGGGCTGCGATCTGCGAAACTGCCGCCACTTTCGAGGGGTGCTGGTGGGTCCAGTGGACTGGCGTCCTACAAGGGGCCCTAAAAGAGCCCGAAACGGCAGCAAGAGGAAAACGCAACCGAAACATATTTCATGTTTCGGAAGGGGGCGGGAAACACAACGAAGCATATTATATGTTTTGGAAGGGGCTGCTTTGGGGGCCTTCTTGGGGTCTCTCTGGGCCACTCTTAGGGCCCTCTTGGGGCCTTGGAGCCCTCTTGGAGCCCTCCTTCCTCCCTCCTCATCCTTCCTCCTCCTCCTACTCCTTCCTCCTCCCCCTCTCCTCCTCATCCTCTTCCTCCTCCCCCCTCCTCCTCCTCCTCCTCCTCCTCCTCCTCCTCCTCCTCCTCCTCCTCCTCCTCCTCCCCCATCGTCCTCCTCCTTTTCCTCCTCCTCATCGTCCTCCTCATCCTTCTCCTCCTCCCTACGTCGCTCCCCCTTCCCGCCGCCCCCCCTCCCTACTCGCATTGTGTGTTACAAGAGTTTCTGCGCGTGCCCAGCCCCAGCAGCCAATATCGATGACATGACGGGTTGGCGGGCGGGATAGTCGTTTTGGGTAGTAGTAGTCGTAGTAGCCGTAGTCGTAGTAGTAGTAGTAGTCGTCAGCTGCAGTAGTAGTAGTTAGTAGAAGTAGTAGTAGTAGTAGTAGTAGTAGTAGTAGTAGTAGTAGTGGTAGTAGTAGTAGTAGTCGTAGTAGTCGTAGTAGTCGTAGTAGTCGTAGTAGTAGTAGTAGGTAGTAGTAGTTAGTCGTAGTCGTAGTCGTAGTAGTAGTAGTAGTATGTAGTAGTAGTAGGTAGGTAGTAGTAGTAGTAGTAGTAGTAGTAGTTAGTAGTAGCAGTAGTAGTAGTAGTAAGTAGTAGTAGTATCGTAGTCGTAGTCGTAGTTCGTAGTAGTAGTCGTAGTTGTAGTAGCAGCAGTGGTAGTAGTAGTAGTATTCGTAGTAGTAATCGTAGTAGTAGTAGTAGTAGTAGTAGTAGTAGTAGTAGTAGTAGTAGTAGTAGCAATGATAGTAGTAGTAGTAGTAGTAGTAGAAGAAGAAATAGAAATAGTAGTCGTAGTAGTAGTAGTAGTCGTCGTCGTCGTCGTAGTCGTCGTAGTCGTAGTAATAGCAGTAGTAGTAGTAGTAGTAGTAGTAGTAGTAGTAGTAGTCGTAGTAGTAGTAGTAGTAGTCGTAGTAGTAGTAGTAGTAGTCGTAGTAGTAGTAGTAGTAGTAAAAAAAAAAAAAAGTCGTCGCAG